AGGTCTTCCTTGCAGCTGTGGCCAAAGTGGAGGCTCTGGAATTGCTTGCAAGGCCTGGCACAGCTGCAGTCCCGGAGCCCTCTGTGCTCCCTGCTGGCCCCCTCCATCCCCTCAGCCCCGCCATGCTCTCGCTGAAGCCCCAGCCCCCTTCAGTTTCTTCAGCCCCTCACAGTCCCTCTCACCCGCCTCAGTCCCTTCTGAGCCATCCCGTCCCCTGAGACCCGCCAGCCCCTCAGCCTGTGCCACTTCCCTGTCTCCTCAGTGCCACCATGGCCCTCGGCTGCCCCACAGCCCTCAGCCCCAGCAGCAGCTCAGGGTCACCGTCCCTTCGGTGCCAGCGCCCCCTCAGCCCCCTCAGCCCCCTCTGTCTCACCGTCCTCCAGCAGCTCCTCAGGGGACAGTGCCTGGGGCCAGCGGCAGCTCCCACCGCTCCAGGGACAGCCGGGGCTGGAAATGCTGCTCCGCCCGGCCCGGCCGCCAGCTGGGACCCAGCACAGGGACAGGGGACACAGGGGGCACCGGGGGAAAAGCAAGAGGTGAAAAAGGCAGCCGAGGCGGGAAAGAGCTAAAAATGCAGCCTAGGCCTACACAAACAGCAATCTATCCATCAATCTCTCCATCTAAACATTCCTATTCCTCTTACTATAGAACTATACACATTCATAAATGTAACGTCATACATATCTATATTTTTTACTCTACACATATAAAAATCTAACTCTGAAAATCTATAAATGTAAATTTATAATAAAATATAATTATATCACATCTATAACTATATACATATCCACATTTAACTATACAGATCTATCAATATATGCCCATATAAATAGAACACTATCATCTATAAATGGAACTATAACCACTAATAAATAGAACCACAGAAATCTATAAACATATCTACAAACAAAGGAATTCTACCTGCCCGATGGCCACAGGCTCTCCCCTGTCTCTTCCTGCCATGCAGGGCAGCCCTCCTGGAGATGTTGCTCAGATGGCATCTGGGAAGCAAAGGGAACGCTCAGTCAATATTGGGCCTTGTGCACCTTTCCCTTGGGCAGCAACTGTCCTTCTACCAGGGGCTGTCCAAGATGGCCTGAAAGGCGGACTCTCACTTGGCAATTTGAAGCAATCTGCCCCTTAAAGAACAGAGACCATTCCAAGTGTTCAAAAGTGTGTTTCAAAGCATTGAAGTATCTTGATAAAGTCTCAGCCCCCGCAGTGCAAAGGGCACCCAGGAGAGCTTGAAACACAGACAGTCCCAGCTGCCACAAGGAAGCCCAGCCTTGTTCTTTCTCTGAGCTGACAGAGAGACCTCAGTCCTCGCTGAAATGGCTGAAGCCAAAGGTGCTGGGAGCTGAGACGTGAACCAGCTCCATGACCTGGCATCTACAAACTGCCCTCTGCAGTGAGCAGCAGCTGCTCCACCTCGACCATCAGCTCTGGCAGGAAGGGCTGGGAGGGACAGAGCTCCCTACGAGGCCTGCAGGCTGCACCAGCTTGGCTAAGGAATGGATCCAAAGTGCTCCTTCTCTCCTCTTAGGTCTCACTAATCAGGGGTCATTCAAGCTTTTCCTTTTGTTACTGGAGTTACCGGATTTTTCAATTGGTTGACCTCTGCTGTTGTGCTCCTTGTTTTTCTTGTGGGTCAGGACCAATACCAGCAGACTGGTACTACATTTAGTCAGTGATTTGGATTTCTACCCTGACTTTTCGCACTTTTTTTCCCCCTGCTCCTTCAAGAGTCGCTCAGCCTGGCCTCTCCTGGCACCCTGCAGCAAATTTATCCACCAACTTCAGCACAAAACTGGGACACCCGGCTTGGTGACACAAGTGCCACAAGGTCAGGTTTATTCCCTGCTCTCTTGCCCCAGCAGAGGACTCGGCATCAGAGTCTCTGGAGAAGCGTGGAGGGCAGGGCTCAGGCAGGTTGTGCCCATGCAGGATTTGAACTCAAGGCACCAGGAAGCACCAAGCCTGCTCAGAGCAGCCATCTCACACCTCTCTAAACCAGTGTGGGCTCTGTCCTTACCAGGCTCCTCGGGCTCCTGGGAACTGTTCCTGCAGCTCTCGGTGCCAGATGAAGCTTCCTCTGCTGCAGCTCTGTTCACAGGCTCCCCTCCTGAAGAATCAGGGGCAACACCAACATTGCCCTGAGCTGAAAAACAGAAAGAAAGGAACCCAAAGATCACTCACTCACTATTTTGCTGGAATCGTATCAGGGATACAACTCCTCTCCTTCTCCACTCCCAAAGGACACGGAGCACAGAGGAGGGAACACTGCCCCCACGGTTCACATGACAAGCCTTTTTTAAACTCAGGATTCAGGGGGCCAAGGTGAAACTGAAGCTCTTACAAAATGACCTTTGAGACAAAACATGATCACAGAAAACCAGAAGACACCAAGTGGGGGGACGTGCCCCCACGCTCTGACCCTGCCTTACCCCAGAGCTGGGAGAAATCAGCCAGCGCAAAGCCAGGGGCTCTCCTTGCAGCCAGCACGGCTGCCAGCAAGGGCAGAGCTCGCTCCCAGCCCTGCCCAGGGCTGTGTGCTGCAAACCCACAGGCAAAGCACACATTTCTGCCTGGGAGTCTCAGCACCCCCAGCCAACTGCTCACACAACCCATCACAAGGTGCTGCTTCTCAGAGCCCTCTGCTGCTGCCCCACGTGTGTGATCCAGGCAAACATTTATGCACCCAGGGTATTTCCAGGATCACATTTGTGATCACTGGCAAAAATCTGTTAATCAGGAGGGTAGGGAAAAAAACCAACCCAAAAGACAGGAAAAGCCAGACAACCAAGTAGTGTTTCTATTCCACTGAGGAAGTAAATGTCCACAATGAAGCAAATTACCTTTGGACACAAAGATATTCTCACTATGACCAGTTTCAGAATATTCATCTCTTCTGCCATAGCCCGTCCATCAGAACCCTAAAGATTCTAAAGATGGTTCCAAGCCTGCAATGTTTCCTTTTATTATGGAATAAAATGCTTCTCTAAACTGCTTTGTGTGACTTTACAGAAGACAAAAGTCGTGCCACTTGAGAATAAGGTATTGGTAAATCCAAAAAGTCCCACTCTCCCCCTTGAGTCATAATCACAAATGTACTGCAGGCAATGGGTCAGCACATCAACAGAAAGAGAGACATTCTTTGGCCAACACGTCTAATAATCTGCAAAAGGACAGAGAGCTGCAGCTCCAGCCCAGCCCCAGCCACGCCTCTGGGAGCGCCTACACGCACGGCAGGGCTCACACAGCAGCAGCAGCTGCAGCCCAGCCCTTGCTTTTCCTTGGCCTTCCCACCCAAAAGAGGCACGGCCCGCATCTGCTGCTGCAACAGAGGCACCTCTGGCATGCCCCTCCCTGCACGGGACACTTGGCCTTCAGTGCCACTTCTCCAAACACTCTTCTCTTCTTTCCCAGCAAGTAAAACCTCTTCTTCATTTCTTCTTCATCCCCTCTTTCAGAAACCTTTCTTTACCAAGAATAATTCAATAACTAAATAATGATGACATAAGTTCGATTAAAGAAGCCTTTGCTTCTCAACCGTGTAACAAGGTTCAAAAGCTCTCAGTCCAGCCCCTTTTATCCCCATCCAATGGAATTACCTGAGCAGTGGAAGATCTGTCAGACAGGGACCTCCTGATCTCCCGAATCATTTTCTCTACGGCAAGGCCCAGATCTGCTGGTGACCGTCCATGCTGCACAGGCTGCACTGCTGGCGGGAGCGCTGGGCCCTGAAGTGCCCGGGGTGGCTGCAAGAATCCAAACGCACTGGTCAGGCTCCCCAATGTGGCTGTGGGACACAGAGCTCTAGTGCTGCTGTGGATCAAACATCACGGGAAGCACACAGGGAAACCAGGCAGGGAATCTTTTGGCCTCCTAGGTGCCCTTTCCTAGTAGGCTTGACAACTTCTGGCCGAGAATGACAGAGCCTTGCGGCAAAATACTTCAAACGGTCACTTTTCACGACCTTTTGGAAAAACAAGGCTCCAACTCTTTTTGTACCTCGTGCCTCGTAGGCTGGGGTCTGCTGCTCCCCGTGGAGCTGCTGGAAGCTGCAGGGCTGGATCGCCAGCACCTCCCGCTCGGCCGCAGGCAGCTGCTCCCTGCAGAGCTCCTGCGAGCGGCTGCGGGGCCCCTCGCGCCCAAGCGGCAGCGGCCGCTCCCCGTGGAGCCCGAGGAAGTGGCAGGGCGGGATGCCGAGCACCTCCCGCTCGGCGGGCGGCGGCCGCTCCCCGTAGAGCTCCTGGAAGCGGCTCGGCCCCTCCCGCCCAGCCGGCAGCGGCCGCTCCCTGTGCAGCAGGTGGAAGCCGCAGGGCGGGCGCCGGGCGAGCAGCGGCCGCTCCCCGGGGGGCTGCTGGTGGCGGCCGGGCCGGGGCCTGCGCAGCTCCCGCCCGTCCGGCAGCGCCCGCACGCTGTGCAGCAGGAGGAAGCCGCTCGGCGGGCGCCCGGCCGGCAGCGGCGGCCGCTCCCTGGGCAGCGGCTTGAAGCGACCGCGCCCGTGCCGCCCGTCCGGCAGCGGCCGCGCCCCGGGGAGCTGCTGGGAGCCGCAGGGCGGGCGCCTGCGGCCCTCCCGGCCTGCCGCCGGCCGCTGCCTGTTGGCCGCGCTCCGGCGCTTGATGCGGAGCAGGAGGTCGGGGCGGTCGCGGCGAAAGCAGGGGTTGCTGTAGTGGAGCCAGGCCCCGGCATCGCCCGGCGCAGCCGAGCCGAGCCAGCCCGGCACCTTGCGGAAGCCGTAGCGGTAGAGCTGCCGCACGAAGCTGCGGAACTGCGTGGCCCTGAAGGTGTGCAGCACCGGGGCCGGCCCATCGCCACGGCCCCTGTGGGCGTGGCCCGAGCTGATCAGCTCTCGCTCCAAGAGGGAGCGGTCGAGGAGCAGCCCCTGGCCGCGGCTGTCCCAGCGCACGGAGCGGACGCGGGGGCTGTTCACCAGGCGCCACAGCTTGGCGGGGAAGGTGCCGGCGCTGAGCCCGGCGGGCAGCGGCAGCTCCGCCATGGCGTCGATCGCCGACTGTGCCCACAACGCCCGCAGCGCAACGGCCGCGGCTGCACCAGCGTCGCGCGGCCTGAGGGGGGCGGGGACGAGCGCGGCAGAGCCGGGGCTGCGGGCACAGCGCGGGCGGGGCGGCTCCGGGGCTGGCCGGGCTCGGCTCGGCAGGGCCAGGTGCGAGCCCCCTCTTTCTCTGGCTGCAGTCATCCTTCTGCATTGGCTTTGCGGCACAACCCCGAACCAGCAAGACAAGCGCTGGAACTTTCAGAAAGGTCTAAATTGAAGAATCCCATCGGAAAGTCTTGCCCTTTGTCCAGTGAAGGCAAAATCACTCATTTCCGCGTGCCTGAAGGGACGGAAAAGATGTTAGAAAGAGCAACTTCAGTATTTTAGTTGGGGTTGCAAACAGAGTTCCCCACTTTAAAGTAGAAAGGTTAAATCGGAGAAGGGGAAATGGTGAAGAGAATTGACATTCTTTTTGCCCCTTTTTCCACCAACTGGTTCTTTCTCGTGGTCCCCACCTGTCTTCAGCAGATTTGGCACATTGGTGATTCTTTGAAGATAGAAGAAGCAACAGGAAGGGGCAGCAAATTTGTGAACATTTTCATCAAAGCTAAAATCCTGCTCCTGGAAGGATGTTGCTTTATGCAAGAGATTAATTGCCTGCAGTTAAAGTGAACTCATGCTGGTGTTTTCACCAAAAGGTTTTACATTTTTCTTTCCTCAGTAAAAATTTCTTTTTTTTTTTCCCAATCAGGGGAGACTTACAACGCAAAATCCCTTCTGCAGCCAAGTCTTTTCAATGTAACCTAACAAAGGTGGTCTTGCAGTGATCTGTGCTTAGTGTCACTTGTTATTTTTATTTTAAATCCTCTCTTGAAGTAGAAACAGTTTTCATAGCAGGAAAAAAATAGACTTTTCATCTAATTTAGTTTATGCCCTTTTTTAAGGGGCACTGGGGGGGGCACTGGGGCTTTTAAAAATGTCTTTACATCATTTAACCTTGAGGGCTCAGCCCTGTCACTTCAGTTGCTGCCCTGAGGGTGACATGCTGACACAGGGATTGTTGGTCTCATCACATTCTGGAGTAGTTTTTTACACTGATTGTTTTAAAGATGCTCTGTCATCTCTGTGTGCTGGCTTTCTCAGAAAAATTGAAACCCACTACCAGAAAATGTCTTCCCAATTCATCTTAAATAGCTTAAAACAGACCCTGAATTTCGAATGATCCACCTCAGTAGGATGGGGTTTGTCTGTCTTTAAACACAGGGTAACAACCTTCACAAAAATTATCCCAGCAACTGAATTACAGCACAATTTCTAATGAATAGGCAAAAAGGAGAAGACAGGAGTTCAGAAAAGAAGGGGTATCTTTCTTCATGTTTCATGGCCCTTATTTCCCACATGTCTGTCTATGTGGTGCTTCATCAAGAAAAGCCTCATTTTGAAGACCTCCTTTGTAATCTCTGTGGCTCATGAGAAGCACATGAATACTAGCCCTGTGCCCTACTAGGGATGAGGAAACACGTGGCTGAAAAGTGGATTGTCCATTGGAATCTCGAGTCACACATGTAGTATACTTACGGTTACATTGACTTCTCCACAGTACTCTGTGGCTAAGAATGAGAAGTTACCCTTAGCTGTGTTTTAAGGATACTGAAACTTAAAAAGAAGTGTGCTTATCTTGTGTCTGGCAGCATGATTCTTCCCCATGAGTCTTTTCTGTGGTACTGTTAGAATTTAATGTCAATTACAAACATCACAAGGTAAATGATGGACGTCACATTTCAGTGTTTGGGCCAAAAATTGGTTTAAAAATTAACAACACAAAAGGTTGTTAATTTTCAGGAAAGAAAAGTCCTTAAAACTGTGGTATATGGTTTTAGATTAAGATTTTTTCCTAAAAATTACTTCTTTCCCCTTTAAAAATAATTTGTAAAGAACATAACTAATGTACAGGCCTGATCATTTCAAGTATTATTTTTCCATATCTTTCCTTTTTCCCTATATGACACTGTAACTTTTGAATCAGTTTTTACCACTTTGAAAATGCAATTTTAGTGTTTTTCCTACTGGTGAATATTTACCAGTTCCAAGTTAAAGAACAGAGAGTTCTGGAAGTGAAATATGTTTTATGTAAGTATTTTTTTCACTAGTCTCCTGGTATTACATGCAACAGGGGCAACATTGAAACAGTCTATATGTACTTCTTTTTGAGAAGCTGTTAGAAATTATTAATATTTTCAGTATATCTGCCATACATTAGTGTGTGTTTCAGCTGAAACTCTCCTCTGGGCTCTACTGTTAGCATGTAAGATCTCCTTGCACTGCAGGAAGACACAATTTTCACTTTCTGATTTGTACACAGCTATGTCACTGCCTTCACCTTTTCATCTCACATGCTTTGACAAATTTTCCTCCTGTGACAGCAGTATCCCTTTAAGGTGATGTAGGTGTGGTGGGCATGCAGCACCCAAACACTTCCTGATCTTCTGGGAGCTGGTCCTGAATCCATCCTTTCCTGTTTATTTCTACATTATACTGAATCATGATTTTAAAAGGGTTAAGATTTTAGCTGAGGCTTAGAACCAATTCGTATTGAAGTTAGATACACCAACAATAGGTTAATGATTATTAGATGCTTAAGCTAAAGCTAATTGTTTTATTATGAGCTCATTTGTAGAAGGAAGTGGAGCAAGCGAACCATTCTAGGAACATACTGAAACCAGTAGAACAATGCCCAGCACCTGGACTCTGTGTCAATCCATCACGAAGCAGGGGGCCTTGGATCATGCCGGAGGGTCACAGAGACCTGATGAAGACGTTCCTGACTTCATCCAGGGGACCACTGTGTGGAGAGCTTTGTGGATAATTGGCTAGCTGAGAAAGGCCACTTTGATGTGATACTGTTGGATAAGGATAGGGGAAACAAGCTGGGGATTAAGTAGTCAGTGTCCAATCACTGACAAGGGTCATGGTGACCTTTGCTGCAACATGAAGATGGGGGAGAAAATCTTTTGCCAGAAAAATGAAGATAGCCTAGGTAGAATAGCCAGGAATGTAAACATAGAAACAAAATAATCATTAGAGCATAGAAGTAGGTGTGGTTGATTCATGTGTGTTTTAACCAATAATGAGCTCAGCTTTGCAATATGTATAAGCTTCATTAACACCAATATAAATATGTGTGAGCTATCAATAAACTTTGAGATTTGTTGTTCACGCATATTGTGTGCTGCAATTCTTCCGCCGTCCCGACAAATGGTGACCCGAGATGTGTTTGCCGGTAGCCACGGTGGATCAGTGTAAGGAGTTCGGGTCCTACCACAGCAAGGACAGCAAAAGCACCGCTGAAAAAGGGAAAGTACGGTGCCCCTGGGTGACCTCAACGGAGAGCCCCAGCCGATACGTGCTGCTGAGACCTTGAAGGGCTGCAAGAAGCGCACTGTTATTTTTAACATGGATAAAGAAAGGCAAGCAGCATATGATTTATTTACTGGCTTTTTACAAAAGCGTCAGGTTAAGGGCATAGATTTGCAGAAAGAGCTTCCTGGGTTGTTAGCTTATGGGTATGAACAGGGATTTTTTCAAAATTCTCACACAGTACATGAGTTAACAGAGTGGCGTAAATTTGGGGATAAGTTGTGGCAGGCAGTCATAGATGATGATAAAACTGCAAAAAAGTTGGGAAAGTTGTGGCGAGTCGTGCATGATGAATTGTTGAAATATCAGGTAGACGAAAAGGCTGCTCAGCAAGCTAGCATGGTGCATGAAAAGAACAAGAGTTATTGGGACTGGTTTAGTTCCCCGTTACCCTGTTATGTCCACAGTCAATCTACCACCAGCATCGGCTTCTGCTTCAAGCAGCAGCTCCCCGCCAGCATTGGCTCCTGCTTCAGGCAGCAGCTTCCCCCCCGCGTGTGCTCTAACAGCACCATCCGCACCGCCTCCGCCTGTGTCAAACCCTCCATCTCCTCCTCCTGGTAATGCGCCGATCCCTGGGTCAGAAAATTACTTAGTGGGGGCCTGGTTGCACAGGAGCGAAGGAAGGCATGGGTGGCGGTAGCAAAAGATATCATGGAGACGGGGAATGACGAAGCTATAAAAGCTGCCATGGAGGTTCCCTGTCCAGTGATTTATTCTCCCCTGGCGGGGGGAGGGTTCCAAGCTACAATAACTGCTTTGGATTGGAAATTGTTGTCACAGTTACGATCCATGGTTAGTCAATTTGGGGTAACCGGTGAGCCCACAAAACAAATGCTGGATTATATCTGGGGGACTCAGGTTCTGCTGCCGGCTGATTGCAGAGGATTAGCGAAGCTTATCTTCACTCAGCATCAGCAGCTTTTGTTTAACGCTCACTGGCAGACACTCTGTCAGGAATGCGTGTCAATAATACCGCAACCAGGCGACCTGTTACATGGGGTAACCCTGGAGCCGCAGCAGCCCCCAGCCTACGAGGCACGAGGTACAAAAAGAGTTGGAGCCTTGTTTTTCCAAAAGGTCGTGAAAAGTGACCGTTTGAAGTATTTTGCCGCAAGGCTCTGTCATTCTCGGCCAGAAGTTGTCAAGCCTACTAGGAAAGGGCACCTAGGAGGCCAAAAGATTCTCTGCCTGGTTTCCCTGTGTGCTTCCCGTGATGTTTGATCCACAGCAGCTCTAGAGCTCTGTGTCCCACAGCCACATTGGGGAGCCTGACCAGTGCGTTTGGATTCTTGCAGCCACCCGGGGCACTTCAGGGCCCAGCGCTCCCGCCAGCAGTGCAGCCTGTGCAGCATGGACGGCCTCCAGCTCAGCACAGAACACAGCTGGGGAGGAGGAATGGCCACCAGCAGATCTGGGCCTTGCCGTAGAGAAAATGATTCAGGAGATCAGGAGGTCCCTGTCTGAAAGATCTTCCACTGCTCAGGTAATTCCATTGGATGGGGATAAAAGGGGCTGGACTGAGAGCTTTTGAACCTTGTTACACGGTTGAGAAGCAAAGGCTTCTTTAATTGAACTTATGTCATTATTATTTAGTTATTGAATTATTCTTGGTAAAGAAAGGTTTCTGAAAGAGGGGATGAAGAAGAAATGAAGAAGAGGTTTTACTTGCTGGGAAAGAAGAGAAGAGTGTTTGGAGAAGTGGCACTGAAGGCCAAGTGTCCCGTGCAGGGAGGGGCATGCCAGAGGTGCCTCTGTTGCAGCAGCAGATGCGGGCTGTGCCTCTTTTGGGTGGGAAGGCCAAGGAAAAGCAAGGGCTGGGCTGCAGCTGCTGCTGCTGTGTGAGCCCTGCCGTGCGTGTAGGCGCTCCCAGAGGCGTGGCTGGGGCTGGGCTGGAGCTGCAGCTCTCTGTCCTTTTGCAGATTATTAGACGTGTTGGCCAAAGAATGTCTCTCTTTCTGTTGATGTGCTGACCCATTGCCTGCAGTACATTTGTGATTATGACTCAAGGGGGAGAGTGGGACTTTTTGGATTTACCAATACCTTATTCTCAAGTGGCACGACTTTTGTCTTCTGTAAAGTCACACAAAGCAGTTTAGAGAAGCATTTTATTCCATAATAAAAGGAAACATTGCAGGCTTGGAACCATCTTTAGAATCTTTAGGGTTCTGATGGACGGGCTATGGCAGAAGAGATGAATATTCTGAAACTGGTCATAGTGAGAATATCTTTGTGTCCAAAGGTAATTTGCTTCATTGTGGACATTTACTTCCTCAGTGGAATAGAAACACTACTTGGTTGTCTGGCTTTTCCTGTCTTTTGGGTTGGTTTTTTTCCCTACCCTCCTGATTAACAGATTTTTGCCAGTGATCACAAATGTGATCCTGGAAATACCCTGGGTGCATAAATGTTTGCCTGGATCACACACGTGGGGCAGCAGCAGAGGGCTCTGAGAAGCAGCACCTTGTGATGGGTTGTGTGAGCAGTTGGCTGGGGGTGCTGAGACTCCCAGGCAGAAATGTGTGCTTTGCCTGTGGGTTTGCAGCACACAGCCCTGGGCAGGGCTGGGAGCGAGCTCTGCCCTTGCTGGCAGCCGTGCTGGCTGCAAGGAGAGCCCCTGGCTTTGCGCTGGCTGATTTCTCCCAGCTCTGGGGTAAGGCAGGGTCAGAGCATGGGGGCACGTCCCCCCACTTGGTGTCTTCTGGTTTTCTGTGATCATGTTTTGTCTCAAAGGTCATTTTGTAAGAGCTTCAGTTTCACCTTGGCCCCCTGAATCCTGAGTTTAAAAAAGGCTTGTCATGTGAACCGTGGGGGCAGTGTTCCCTCCTCTGTGCTCCGTGTCCTTTGGGAGTGGAGAAGGAGAGGAGTTGTATCCCTGATACGATTCCAGCAAAATAGTGAGTGAGTGATCTTTGGGTTCCTTTCTTTCTGTTTTTCAGCTCAGGGCAATGTTGGTGTTGCCCCTGATTCTTCAGGAGGGGAGCCTGTGAACAGAGCTGCAGCAGAGGAAGCTTCATCTGGCACCGAGAGCTGCAGGAACAGTTCCCAGGAGCCCGAGGAGCCTGGTAAGGACAGAGCCCACACTGGTTTAGAGAGGTGTGAGATGGCTGCTCTGAGCAGGCTTGGTGCTTCCTGGTGCCTTGAGTTCAAATCCTGCATGGGCACAACCTGCCTGAGCCCTGCCCTCCACGCTTCTCCAGAGACTCTGACACTGAGTCCTCTGCTGGGGCAAGAGAGCAGGGAATAAACCTGACCTTGTGGGAGTTGTGTCACCAAGCCGGGTGTCCCAGTTTTGTGCTGAAGTTGGTGGATAAATTTGCTGCAGGGTGCCAGGAGAGGCCAGGCTGAGCGACTCTTGAAGGAGCAGGGGGAAAAAAAGTGCAAAAAGTCAGGGTAGAAATCCAAATCACTGACTAAATGTAGTACCAGTCTGCTGGTATTGGTCCTGACCCACAAGAAAAACAAGGAGCACAACAGCAGAGGTCAACCAATTGAAAAATCACGGTAACTCCAGTAACAAAAGGAAAAGCTTGAATGACCCCTGATTAGTGAGACCTAAGAGGAGAGAAGGAGCACTTTGGATCCATTCCTTAGCCAAGCTGGTGCAGCCTGCAGGCCTCGTAGGGAGCTCTGTCCCTCCCCGCCCTTCCTGCCAGAGCTGATGGTCGAGGTGGAGCAGCTGCTGCTCACTGCAGAGGGCAGTTTGTAGATGCCAGGTCATGGAGCTGGTTCACGTCTCAGCTCCCAGCACCTTTGGCTTCAGCCATTTCAGCGAGGACTGAGGTCTCTCTGTCAGCACAGAGAAAGAACAAGGCTGGGCTTCCTTGTGGCAGCTGGGACTGTCTGTGTTTCAAGCTCTCCTGGGTGCCCTTTGCACTGCGGAGGCTGAGACTTTATCAAGATACTTCAATGCTTTGAAACACACTTTTGAACACTTGGAATGGTCCCTGTTCTTTAAGGGGCAGATTGCTTCAAATTGCCAAGTGAGAGTCCGCCTTTCAGGCCATCTTGGACAGCCCCTGGTAGAAGGACAGTTGCTGCCCAAGGGAAAGGTGCACAAGGGCCAATATTGACTGAGCGTTCCCTTTGCTTCCCAGATGCCATCTGAGCAACATCTCCAGGAGGGCTGCCCTGCATGGCAGGAAGAGACAGGGGAGAGCCTGTGGCCATTGGGCAGGTAGAATTCCTTTGTTTGTAGATATGTTTATAGATTTCTGTGGTTCTATTTATTAGTGGTTATAGTTCCATTTATAGATGATAGTGTTCTATTTATATGGGCATATATTGATAGATCTGTATAGTTAAATGTGGATATGTATATAGTTATAGATGTGATATAATTATATTTTATTATAAATTTACATTTATAGATTTTCAGAGTTAGATTTTTATATGTGTAGAGTAAAAAATATAGATATGTATGACGTTACATTTATGAACGTGTATAGTTATATAGTAAGAGGAATAGGAATGTTTAGATGGAGAGATTGATGGATAGATTGCTGTTTATGTAGGCCTGGGGTGCATTTTTAGCTCTTTCCCGCCTCGGCTGCCTTTTTCACCTCTTGCTTTTCCCCCGGTGCCCCCTGTGTCCCCTGTCCCTGTGCTGGGTCCCAGCTGGCGGCCGGGCCGGGCGGAGCAGCACTTCCAGCCCCGGCTGTCCCTGGAGCGGTGGGAGCTGCCGCTGGCCCCGGGCACTGTCCCCTGAGGAGCTGCTGGAGGACGGTGAGACAGAGGGGGCTGAGGGGGCTGAGGGGGCGGTGGCACCGAAGGGACGGTGACCCTGAGCTGCTGCTGGGGCTGAGGGCTGTGGGGCAGCCGAGGGCCATGGTGGCACTGAGGTGACAGGGAAGTGGCACAGGCTGAGGGGCTGGCGGGTCTCAGGGGATGGGATGGCTCAGAAGGGACTGAGGCGGGTGAGAGCACTGTGAGGGGCTGAAGAAACTGAACGAGGCTGGGGCTTCAGCGAGAACATGGCGGGGCTGAGGGGATGGAGGGGGCCAGCAGGGAGCACAGAGGGCTCCGGGACTGCAGCTGTGCCAGGCCTTGCAAGCAATTCCAGAGCCTCCACTTTGGCCACAGCTGCAAGGAAGACCTTGAGGACAGCCGGAGACTGACGGGGGCCAGCAGGGAGGAGCTGAAGGCCGGCAGCAAGAGCAGTGAACGGGGACCTGCTGCTGCCAGCCTGGAGAGAGCCCGGCTGAGGCCACAGGCCCGGGGAGGCAGGCTGGGGCTGAGGCTGGCGTGGGCTGTGGCCGTGGGCACTGCCCGGCGGGGCAGGAGCGGGCCCTGCCCGTGCTGGGGCTGCTTAGCGCAGCTGCCCCGGCTGGCACAGGGGCTGTCCTTGGGCCAGGCAGCTGTGCCGGCAGGGCCCCGGAGCTGTGCCGGCTCTGCCGGGCTGCCGGGGCTGCGGGACAGTCCCGCCGCGGCTGCGCTCACCACAGCCTGGCCCGCTCGGCTGCTTTCTCTTTCCGACCCTCCTGGGGAGGCTCTGACATTTCCTCTTCCCTGATGGAAGTGCAGCTGCTGCCGAGGGAAACGTCCCCATACTCACTCAGTGTTCCCTTTGCTTGCCAGATGTCCCATCTGCTGTCGCTGTCCAGGAGAGCTGCTCTGCACGGGAGGAGGAGACCGAGCGAGAGGCTTTGAAGATGGGGCAGCTGGGATCCCCCTCTGCTTTGAGTTCCATGTAGACATGTCTAGAATTGGATTATCCATTTGGATAGATATGTCTATCCATCTCTAGACATGTCTGTTACGTAGAAATGTCTAGAGATGGATTATCATTTGGATATGCACATTTTTGGGTTGCTACTTGTATAGGACTATTTCTGTATGTGTGGTGTTTAGGGATGTACGCTCTGTATATATGTACATGTATGTATACATACTTGTTTGTAATTACATCTCTGTGTATATTTCTATCTAAGTATACATGGACGTTGTTATATCTGTGTTTAGTTCTGTTTGCTATATATAGTTGTGTTGCTATTTATTCGTTTGTAGTTATATGTAATAAATTAAGTTGTTAAATGCCTTAATTGATCTTTGTGTATAGTGAGTTGTTGTGGAGGTTGGCAATAAATTTAGTTTTGTTAACTGAAGTTAGTATTTGTATATTTTTACACAGACTGGTTGTAATAATCTAATAAATTCCTGATTTTAACCTAAATTGATATTTGTATAGTTCTGTCTTGTCAGCGTGGGTGTAGCAATTTGTAATAAATGACATTTTTCAGCTGAAATTGATTCTCGTGTATTTGTGGATCAGCAGTGCTGGTGTAGCGATGTGCAAGAAATGCCATTTGTCAGCTGTGATGGGTGTTCTGTGATTTGTGCTAAATTAGTGTATTTTATTGAATAGTAAAAGAGGCAAAGAGAAATAAAGAGAAAAGAAAGGAGGAGAAAGAAGTGTGCATGGGCGGTGGGGGGACAGGGAGAGGGTGGCAGGGGTTATGTGTGACAGCTTTATCACCCATCCAAGGGTCCCACCATGTCTCGCTGCTCTCCTCCATCTGGTCTCCTTGGTGGTGAGGGTCCCACACCACACTGCCACACGTCCTGACGAGTGAGGGATTCCCTGGATTAATACCCGCTTTGGGAGGTGGGAATGCCCAGGTGCCTCCCTTGCAGGGGGCCAGTTGGACACTGTCCCTTGCTGCACTGAGCGTCTGTGGCATCGTGCTGCAGTGCTCTGGTGCAGGGTCTGGGCACCCCTTTGGGGGCCCTTTGACGGGGCACATCACCCCCTCTGTTGTGGACAAGCTTTCCCCTGGTGAAGGGCCCCACAGCTGGGCTGCCCTGCCCAGCAGAGGATGGGCGGCCACTGCCTCTCACCAGAGGCTTTCCAACACTCACCCAAAGCCCCTCTGCCCCCAGCTTTGGTGCCAAGCTCTGTGTGAACCTGGCAGCTGATAGCCCTGGGGCCGTCATCTCCACCCTGAAGGCATTGGCTTGTGCTTCCTGAATGCCCCTGAGCTGTTACTTTATCTCCTCTTCATCAGAGAACCCTGTAGGCCTCCCAGAGCCCCATTCAGGGTGTGGTGGTCATCTCTGCAGCTTTTGTAACACAGCTCTGCTGTAGCAGGCAAAAGTCTTTCATGAAAATGTTTAAACCATAAACTATTGTATTTCAGCCTCTGACAGCGGGGAGGACAAATCCGCCCCCCATCCCACGGGCAGCTCTTTAGGAAGCGCTCCCAGTGTCCCTCTGAAGCTCATCCCAGAGACCAGAAGCCAGCAGGGATCCTGAGCCAGCTCCGCTGCCTTTGGCAGCACTTTGGCAAATGAGCTGCAGCAAGGGGGAGGCAGCAGTGACTGTGACTGCTGCAGGCTGGGCATGAAGGAAGGGCCATGGACACAAGTGCTGAGATGCTCCAAAATCCAGGACAACTGGGAATCAAGAAGGTCTCACAAGCACTAATATGATGGAAGCCCTTTGTGTGAAGCTCCCTGAAGGAACTGCCAGGGGACTTGCTGCTGGGATCAGCAGTAGCAGAAGGCAGCAGGATCTGCTCCTTTTCCTGGCTCTGTTTCAGGACACAGGCTCTGATGACCCGTGCTCCCACAAAGCCCTTGCCCATGGAGGCTGTAGTGCAAAAGCAATCCCACTGCAAAGAGAGGCTTAGCAGTTGAAGTTCACTTGTGTTTAGGCAATGGAGTTTAGGGAATGAATGACTCCCATGCCAACGCACCGGCACGTAACCGGGGCTCTGAGAGGCAGAGCCTTTAGAGGGAAAGAGAGATCAGGCACTCGCATGCCTGAAACTCCTTCAGCTCTCTTCTTTAAATTAGAAAGCTGAGGAGAGGCAAATGCAATCCTTTGAAAAAATATTGTGTCTAACAAGTCCTGAGGGGAAAAAAGTAGGTAACAACTGGGCCTTGTTTTCATAGCCTGTGTCTTCTGCAGAGGAGACTGGGATGTACAGCTTCCAGGAATACAAGGCATTGCATGGAACTGTGCATGTGCTCAGCAACTCAACCCTACTGGTGCACTTTGTAAGGACACAGACAGCAATTGGATCTATGTATCCACCCATTAACAAAGTGTTGTTAGCAGTAGGAT